CCCTAAGCATAGCAAAAACAGCACCGCTACAATACCCTTTATGGGATTTTTCTTTTTCTGTGACCAAGTTTGCAAATCTGAGGTTAGCTGAGCACACGAGAGAGAGAAACAGAGGTGAGCTGAGCACACGAGAGAGTGTGTGAGTGGTTTGCTGAGTGACCCATGTGGTGAATGTTTGGTTTGAGAGAATCTATTAAGGCGCACTCCGCGAGTCAAGAGAATGAAAGTCTGTGTTCAGATTGAAGAAACCAAACAGAACATAAGCAAGTCAACAATTGTCAACAAATGTGAAACTCAAATTGCTCATATTCTAATTATTTATTCCCCATTGACGAATGTGGGTCCACTTGAATGACTTCATGCCGTGGCAAACACTATTTACTATTGGCGGTGGTGGTGGCAATGCCAATCTAGCCCTCAGTGGTTTGGATTTAGATAATTATTTTGTTTTATTTTATGAATAAACAAAAGTATATTCTTCGTTCTATTTGACACATGGCTGCGACAATTGTAATTACTTATCTAGTGCTACTCAATTTGAAGACTACAATCCACTATGTGACTCACTAATGTTATAAGACGTAAATTAGTAGCATTATGTGGCGATGTTATTATCACATTTAATAATTTTCTTAGTGTTAAAAATCAGTTTTGTGTAAAAGTTTCTTGTTTTTTTTAGGGAGCTTTAGTATTATACCCAAAATATGGGTAGAAATTATAAAAAAACCTCACATGGAATGCACTTTAGAAACATACCCAAAAATCATTTACTACATAAGAAATGAGTGTTGAAGTTCCTATAAATTACATGACTGCCATTGATTAACTTAAAACAAGCCCAATACAAAAAAAAACTACAAAAAAACCCCAAAACATGCCCAGCAAGCCCGAAGTACATTGTTAGTACCATATCATAGAAGTACATTGTTAATACCATTCATACAAAAAACTAAAAAAGAACCCCCAAAAAAGCCTAGCAAGACATCCGATATCCTTTGCAGAAACCACATCTAATTGTCCATAGTTTCACCAGAACCAATCGCAAAGGCAAAAGGAAATACCTCTACAAGAAGAAAAAAAATGTACACTGTTAATACTATGTCATAGAACTATCTTCCTAATAAAAATCACATTATGCATATCATAAACTTCAAGTACACATATATAGAGCAAAATATAAACCACACTTTGTTACTGAAAATCTCTTAATACAATGTCATAGAAGTACACTGTTAATGCTATGTCATAGAAGTACACTGTTAATATTATGTCACAAAAATCAACTTAGTTGCAAGGTATGAACAGTATAACAATTGTTCATACTACTTACTGGAAGTTAACAACTACATCATTTCATTTGCATAATACGTACAATAAAGAATCCAAACAGTACCAAACTTCAAAACCAAGTCAACACTAAACAGTGTGTTGAGGCCCAAAAAATCCACGGTTCGGCCCAAATAAATTCTCGTCCCAATGCGAGACCTTACCGAGAAGAAACTCGATTTGGGCATGCGAAAGTTCGTCATATGCGCTTGCACACATGTCACGTCAAGCAAATAAGCAACACGCCACGCTACAAGCTTAAGCGGGCCCAAGCCACGCAAGATGTCTGGGGCTTGCTTGAGTGGGTTGTGGTATGGATGGTAATAAGTTGACATGAGGCCCATTGATGGGCCAAGAAATGGAAGTCCCGGGGTTGCTTGGGAGCCTCGGAACTCAGGCCCATTTCTTAGGCCCAAACATGTGGGTGAGCACAAAAGAGAAAATATCCCAACCAAAATATCATAACCAAAATAGCCCAACCAAAATGGCCTATTGACTCAACCAAAAAAAGCCCAATGCTTGATAGAGATAGCCCACTTACTCAATAAACCAACTTGGCCCATACAATTACAATAGAAGAGCTGCAAAGCTCTAGCACCTGGCTGAAGAACGAAGCCACGAAGGGAAGTCTGGAGGTCCACTATGTAGAGTTGCTGGGAAAGTTCCAACACATGGGAGGACAAGTTTCAAGTAAAAACTTCCAAAGGACCAAGGGATATTGGAGCGCAGATCACCGTTTGAACCAGCATGCATACCCATTCTCTTTCCCTTATCAGACCTGGCCATAAAAAAAAAAAAAGGAAGAAAGGAAAGGAATGAGATTGCTGAGTTCTGAGGTAGCTGCGGGAAAGGGCCTTGAGCTCCCAAAAATTCCTGATTTTGTGCAAATAAACTGAGGAAATTTCACCAAGATGGGAAAAGTCAAGGGAGGAAAGAAGAAAGGAAGGGAGAGATTTGGCTAAATTGGATAGGAACCATTAGGGTTTCTTGAAAAATGGTAGCTTCCAGAGCCTATAAAAAGAGGCATTTCCTACCCATCATAACAACCACATCCAGAGAGCAAGCTTCCTCTCTTACTCCAAAAACCCAGCAATTTCGTGCTTAGCCCATCCCTTTTCCTTAGTTTTCCCTCTTGGCAAGCTATTCTGACACTTGACAGAATCTCTGTCAAGCTGCCGGAAAAAGCACTCAAGCCATCTTCTTCTCTCTTTCCCTCATTCTCAACCAAACCTCTCTGCAAAACCCTTTCTCTCCTACTTTAATACCCCATCTTTCCCTTTCGAGACATTCTTGGGGCTTGATCTTCGAACTCAGACACAGGGGGATAATTTCACCAGTTTGCTTCTTATGGCGGCCCAGCCCATTTGCTGCTGCCAGAAGAAAAAGACCCCTACACAGTGTTTTGTGAATTAAAATCACAAAGAACCTAGATCATTAAGAATCTAAATCCAAGAATAGTAATTATCAAATTTCTTTTCTTTTGTTCAATTTGTATTAGAAAAGAAAATGAAGATGTAGTGGCAAGATGCCACACCAACAATACAGATATATAGTTTCAGTTCTTGTATGCAAAATCATTGTTAACTCATAGTGGAAAACTTGAAGGAAAAAAACATACACTCTCTGCCTTTTCCACAAACTACAAAGAGGTTAACCAATATAGGGTTTTGTGGAGGACCTTCTTTTTCACCAAGGAATATGCATCTAGCAATGCCAGCACTAAGGGGGGTGTATTCAATTAGGTTTGTATAAGATTTTGAAAGACTTTTTTTAAGTGACAGATTTCCTAGAATTTTATAACTCCTATAGGTTTTACTGGAATTTTTAATAAACTTGCATAAATTTTTATTATAGACTTCCATACTTTTATATGAACTTTTGTTATAGATTCAGATCAATTTGCATGGACATTATCACTTTTGTTACAGAGGCCTCATATTCAGATAAGTCGACAGGGATTGAGTGGAAGGTGAAGTGTGGGTGGCTTGAAGGGTTGTGAGAGTTGAACTTGGTCTGGACGATGGTTATGGAGAAGCCTTTGGAGTGAAGAAGGTTGCCCAGTTCTAGCATGGGGTTTATATGGCCTTGAAGTGGCAGTGGGAGAAGTATCAATCTCAGGCCTCTGCTTTGCTCCATTAGAATTCAGAATCACTGACTGTGTTTGCTTGGCTTCTGATTCTGAGATTGTTAATACTTTGCTACTTGTTGAGTTCTTATAGACAATATATTTTTCTTTACTGTGAGATTTATATGACTGGTCAACACAGGCAACCCACACCACAAGCCTTTGTGATTTGTCAGTGGAGGGTTTGAATTCAAAGTATGATATTTTTCTCGGCGACTTAACTTGTAGATAAGAATAAGAATTCAAACACCTGTGTATAAACATACAAAGTACAATCACTGAATGTAACATTATTTAATTAGTCACACACAGATGGCAATGTTTGCTAACACCTTGATCTCAGATCCTCAAATTCTGAAATACTCATATTGCATTTTGCATTTATGACACACAGTCCAAAAGGTACACAAAAAGCAAATATTATAAGAAATTCAAAGTAACTGGCGTTCATGAAAGTATAGTGACAAATTTATAACAAGTTTGAAAGCAACGCTGAAAGAAAAATATGCAACATTCATTCGTTATCGTTAATTCTCATTGGTGTCATTGTGGCCAATATCTCTCCACATGTTCAAAGCTATACCAACCCTCCATTCATTAGCATGTGCTCGTTGTTGTTCTTGTGTTTGGAAAACTAGTTCAGGATCTCCTTCATTAACTGGTAATGATGAAGATGAAGATTCGTTCTCCAATTCAATAGGAAACTCGTCTGATCGACATTCCTTTCGAAGAAAGTTGTGCAGTCCAGCACAAGCTAACACTAACTCTGTTTGTGTCCTATATGGGAATGGAGGTGCAGACTTGAAAATTGTAAATCGTGATTTAAATATACCAAATATCCTCTCAATGACATTCCTCAAGGACGCATGACGAAGATTGAACAACTCAACTTCATTTGCAGGGTCACGACCTTGACCTGCAAACTCTTGGAGATGATATCGAACACCTCGAAAATTGAAATCTGATCTTATAATTTAGAATTTCTTTTGGGTTCATGCCCAACTCAAGACAACGACTCAAAAGACCAAGAGTAATGACAGACAATAGGAAAAGCTATCATGCAACCGTCATGCTCTTCCAAATAACAATAGGAAACCTATCATCAACACCCAATAACAAGTAGCCTAATTTAGAACCTGGAATAAAAACAATAACCAAGCACATATTACAACCCAACAAAGCTATTTCATCATCAATATAATAAAAACTAGTTCATCATCAATTTAATAAAAAGTCAATATGTCATACGCAAAATAAATAAAAATAGAGTATTTAAACATACTGTTTGATAAATCCTAATGCATTATCAAGCAAAAAACCACTCATCCCCAAAACCCACTCATTCCCAAAAACCAGTCATTCCAAATTGTAGGATATCCAACTTGAGCGCTCTTTAGGGGACATCAACAAAAATGCTTCCTTCTTTGTAGTAGTATTCAACAAAGAAAGGGCTTTATAACGAGCATGTTCATCCACATTTGGGGTCTCCTTAATGGCATCCCATATATAACTCTGCCTCTCCCTGTCTTTTTCCCTTTTTTCCAATAGGCTATGGACTCCCTTGAAGTCGGTAGCAATTTCAGCAATGCTAAAACTAATTCTGTCCATACATGTCTCATATTGGCTACCATTCCCTTCATGCTCTGGTCTAGTTCGTTTCCTCTGGCTTGAGCTTTCTGAGGGACCTGTCCAAATATTGGCCTGAAAAGGTAAGGATGAAGAAGAATGTCCGAGTGGTGGATCTTGGTGTGATGCTTCATTATGATTTGGTACAAAGGCCTGAGTGTCATTATCATAAACAAAGTCTTCTATTCCAACTTGTCTATCTTCCACCCCAAAAGTTCTTGCATCAGTACCATCACCCAATCCTAATGAGTTTTTTCCAACTGCAGTTGCATTCCCAATAACAATTTGCAAATCCTCATAGTCCTCACAAGTTTTTGTTTGAATATGCCTGTGGGTTGGATGGGACTACAAAAACAACAATTAAATAATAATTATTAGTAATGAAATATGTACTTAGGTTACCACATAACGCATATTGAGAGAGAAGTTAAGAACCTAACCTTAAAGTAGTCTTCCCAAATTTCTTCAGGAGCAGTGAATTTCTTTGTGGTTGAGTCCCACCCAAACCCAGAGTTATGACGCATAAGCTGTGAATATTTTTGATATTCTCTCTTAAAGTATTTCAACCGACTTTGGTAATGACAATAAGTTTTATGACACCTAAGTTTTTCATTAAGGATGGGAAGTATTTTGGTTTCTACAGTTGCCTTGCTTAGCACGCCATTGGCATCACGCCATCCACGAGATGCAGCATCAACCATGAGCTGCAACAACATTTTGCTCTCTTCCACACTCCAAGCACTATAATCTTTCTTGGCTTTCCCTTTTCCAGTTACTTGTTCGCAATCTCCCATTTCTAAATTATTATTATATATATATATATATAAACATGCAAATTATTGTTAGTTATACAAACAAGGATAACAATAGACGCATTATGATATACCAGCAATGTCACATAAAAAGTGCAGAAAAACGGAGCAAAATCTAAAACAACTATCAACAGCACCTAAAGAAGATAACATGATAAACTCACTTTTCCCTCTTTTTCAGGATCTGGGTAATTGAGTCATTGGATTTATGGATTCAAGTACATAAATATATAATAAAAAGAAGATTAAACACTCACAGGGTGAAAGAAAAAAATAGTATAGCTAATTTTATATATTAAAAAACCTGTTTCTTCCTTCCAATCCAAAGAAAAAAAAGACAGTTGAACGAGCTTATTAATGTGAGTATTACGGTTGGTTGACAATCATCTTTTTCTAGAGTGCAAAGTTTTGCTGGGTAAGAAATTCCATGTGCATAATTTACGATTGAATGCCTGCATGTGTTTTCCCCATTTTTCCTTCATAATTTTTGCATGTGTTAAATTTTCACCTGTTGCTTGACAATGAACTTGAGAAAACTTCATAACCGGAGTACCAGTAAACCCAAACCCCAAGATAAACCCTAAAAACAAGCTACACTCTAATAACAAGCAAAACCACCATAAAACAAGAAAAACATCAACCAATAATCATCAACAAATAGTAATAAACAAGAAAAACCATGGAAGAAGAAGGAAAGCCAACAAGAATATTGAGAGAGCGTACCTTTGGAGGGTGGTTCGTCTTCTGCAGAGATAAAAAAATAACACGACGTCTGAAATCTTTGGGGTGGAGGTTGGACTTATGCTGGCCTTTATTATTTATACCTAAACCCTACAAATTCTCCAAACTCCAACACTTAATTAAATCCTTCCAAATCTATCTCCTTTTGAATACAGGTAAATTTAAATGGACTTTTTCCAAGTCCTAATTGAATACACCCACATTTAAATGGACATTTTAAAAGTTCAAACAAGTCTAGATTGAATACACCCAAACTGTTATAGACTTTTTAAAAGTTTATATAAATCCAAATTGAATACACCCGGATTTTTAAAATCTTTTTAAACGCTTTATAATCCTAATTGAATACACCCCCCTTAGATTGAATGAATTAAAAAAACAGAGAGAAAGTTCACCCTGTATGAGAAAAACTTTAGTGATGAAACTTTAAAATTACAACCGGGTACATAAAGCCTGACCCTCGATTTATAGAATCATAAAATAGAAGAACCTGAATAATATCATGAGTACCTCAAACCAACTAAATAAATTCTCATTACAACTCCAGATGACTTGCAGACCCATTGAAGCAATCAGGTAGCTGCAAAATGAGCATTGCCTTAAACAAATATTACAATTCTTTTTATGACAAGAAATGGCATGTGATGCATCAAGAGATGCTGAAATTTGCCCCATAAGCCTACAAAATTAGGTTACACAAAACTGAAATTAGATGGCAATTTGCTCACAAACATTAGATAGCATACATAGACAGAGCCAAACAAGTCAACAACAATGAGAAAAACAAGCATAATGAATTCTAAATCACTAATTCCAATTATTATATCATTCTAAAATAGAAAAAGCAATACATCAATGACTCATATTGACTAATTAAGTATTTTAGGCCAAGAATTCATCCCAGAATTCTAACTACCACCACCTCTAGCACCGCTGGTGTGCCAAAGAATGGAGAATCAAATTGAATCACCATATTACCATCACCAAAACCTCAATTCAATCATACACTAAGCAAACACAGAAATTAACAACAACAAAAAATACAAGAAATTAAAATTTTCACAATAACCTCTAAGAGCTTTTGCGTATGAGAGACAATGAGTAGTTCTTCAAAGAATCTCTCTCCTGGCGGCGTATCTGTACTAAGATCGACGAATGTTATCCAACGATCTCTGCCTTCTTTGCCGTGCTCATTCCTCCAGATGAGTTCTTAGCTCCGTCTCCGTCTGAGGTTGTTGTGGTTGACGTCGCTTAGATTCGACGGTGCTGGAGCAAGAACTGGAAGCGTTATCGGCTAACGGAGATTGAGACGAAGATGATTGCAGTGGCTCCGAAGGTGAAGAAGGATGTGGTGCATTAACTGAAGCGTCCGATGGAGATGGAGGAAGGGAAAGCAACGATGGAGTTTTGGGCGAAGGGGAATTGACGGCGGGTTGCAGTGATGGAGTTTGCGAGGGCTGTGGTGGAGATGATGAAGATATAATGAAGAATTGAACTAGGAGAAAAGCTAGAAGCAGAGCTCGATGAACGTCGCCATTATTGAAGAAGAAGAAGAAGAAAGTTCGAGATGTTGGTTAATGAAGATTGAGTTGATTAATAAACAAAGCAAAAGGGCAAAACAGTAATCAAATATAGCTATAGAATTTAAGAAATCGGCAGCTGCCAATTTTTGGGTTTATTTTGGGTGTGTTTATATACATTGAATGGTATAGGGTTTCTTTTATAGAATTATGTCTAGGAATGGGTATTTAACTAATTTTCTATTTTTCTTATAAGATTTGTCATTGATATTCCAAAATAGTCCTCGTGTATTTTTAAACATTTTAATTTTATTTTCGTGTAGGGAATGATGTTAAGAAAATGACTATTTTCTTTTTGACAATTATCTTAAACTACTCTAATTTATGAGAAGAACGATTTGAATTCCGCAAAGGGGCAGGTAAACTACGTCTACTGACCTAACCAACATCTATAATTGTCGGCTGCGCAAATCTCACGGCTTGGGGTTTCGGGCCGAGGGGATGTGCGTTGACACGTGGCTTCCTGCTTTTGGATGCGGTGCGGTTGTGCGCTGGCGTGCCAGCACGGCCTACCGTGCGTTGAGATGTTGATGTGGATAGAATGGTCAAGTGGTTCGCCTGTTTGAACTCGTCTTCTAATCAAACGATCGTAGCCAAGAGAGGAACTGATCTCGGCTGTTAGGTTCACGGCCTGAGCTACAAGGCCGTTTAGGGGTGGTGAAAATGGTGGATTTTGGGCGGTGCTCCGGCGCGCTGCTCAATGAGCGACGGTCGTATGATATATGGGGTGAATGAATGGGCAACAGAGATGGTGCTCCGGCACCTTGAAAATCAAGGGTCGTATGATATATTGCTAAATGGATTTTCCTTACAATCTAACGCTACTCCTAGGAAAGCAAGTAAAGATATTGAAAGTGCATTACAGGAAAATATAATTTGCTCCGTAGGAGGCTTTTGTTGGGTGTTTGAACCCCTTGAATGTAGCTTGAGCCTTGTATTTATAGGAAGAGTTCTTGGAAGAGTAATCGAGGCTGAAAATCTGCATGGTGGAGCCTGATTAGAGCAAGTGGGTAGTCCAATCGACATTTGGGATCGTGAAGCATGGTGGTGTGACCCCATAAATCCTGGTGAATCTTGGCCGCCGCCCTAATCGTGGGTTCTGCGCTTCTGGCCGTGGAGACGCATTTATTGTTCTGATAGTTGGTGACCTAATCTCTCAAGCCGCAAGAATTCTTGTGAGAATGTCTGCGTCTAATCACTCTGATTCCTATCACCAAATCCTGACTTCAATCACTTCCCACCCTCCCTCGTGCATTAAATGCTTATTCGTGGCCAGTGGGTTTGCTGCGATAAACAGAGGCATTGCTTCATTAAATGAAGCGTGGGACCCTGCTGCCACTTGATGATCCGACGTTAGTACCTTTGGCCGTGATTTTGTTCGACTTCGGCCTCGGCCTATAATCAAGGCTGAGATGATCATGCCTTCGCAACTTTTCCTTTGCTTTTTAGGAAGGCCAAATATCTTGGCGAAACGCCGCGTTTTAGTTTCACGAGCAAGTGTTAGGGCCGAGAAAAAGGGGCCCCTTCGGTCGGTCAGTTCATAGCCGTGATTTATTAGGCACAAACAATAATTAAGAAAACTAGTATTAAAAAAACAGAATAGTGCAATATTGTTAGAAAATAAACAACATGACAATAGAGAAAGACCAAGAATTCATAGGTGTATTTTAACTCTCATTAAGCACTTTTTTGTACTTGTTATTTAGTTTTTCCTCAATAAAATATTGTTGCCTTCTTAAATAATAATAATAATAATAATAATATAGGCTTTTAGAGGAACAAGAACAGGCTCCCAAGATATTGTAGTCCTTTTTTTTTGTTTGGAACCAAGTTTACACCAAATAGAAGTCTCTTAGGGCTAGTTTGGCATTGTTGTGCTATGAAAATAATCGATGTCAGATTTTGTGAGAGAAATCAGCTGTGAGAAAGTGATCGGTTCATAATTGTATATCATTTTGTACCCTTCTAGCTTATGATTTGGTTATGTTTTTGAGTTAAACTTGTGCTTTTAATCCTTTTTGTGTTTATTTTTCAGCTTTAGGTAACAATGATGGCTTTGGATAGGAAATGATGCAATCCATGCATGTTAAAGCCTGATTTGGATAAAGGGAAGAAGTGCTTAAAGACAAACTCATTTTGGCTACAGCCCCCTGCCAGTCCAGTTCCGTAGGTCATATTGCAAGCTTTGTTTTAGCAACCTACACAACTCGGATGAGGCAGCATTCTTCATGAAAGTTGTTCCAATGGGTGTATACTATAACATATCCAAAATTCAGCCCCATTGGATACATATGGAGTCTGTCACCTAGCAAACACAGAACCATGCTCAGGATGGATTTTTGTCAGCGAGCAAAACGAGTTAGCAATTTGTTTTGGCCTTAACTTC